ACTCACCATACCCTGAGCCCCTCCTACACCCAACCTCTTGCCTTGACTCCTGCACCTCCCATTCAGGTGAGCCTCTCACCTCCAACCCTGATGCCTGCATACCCCCTGCTCAGAAGGAGCCAAGCAAGGCCAGGTCAATCTTCTAGTAATTAAATAAAAACAGTCATCAAGGGAAATGGGAGTGCTATTCTTGTTGTCTTGTGTTTAAAGGTTTTTTTGCTTATTGTTAGAAGTTACTTCTAACCATGACCTTCCACTCTTGGCAACACTGCAATTTTGCCTAATAACCATAGAATTTAAAACATTTGTATTTTAACAGATTCTTCTCAAGCCACCAGTAATAAAGAACTGGAGAACTTGAAGTTGCAGTCAGTCTTAAGTCCTGGTTTGGTGCACCTCCAGAGAGCCAGCCTGCCTCTTGGACAGCTGTCATTGAAGGATTTATTTAGTTTATATGATTATAATGAGCACATACCTATGTCAGATGACTTTGGTGAATATATTCGTCACGTTGAGGATGCTGTCTGGAAGAACAGAGGTGAAACAGAGATTGCCAATCCCATGGGGCCAAACAGTTTTCCTTGGCCCAAGTATCCCAGAAGAAAACGGGACTTCTCAATGGGGGTGGCCGGAGTCTGCTGCAAATGGGGCTGTACCAAAGCTGAGATCAGTACGCTATGCTGAGATTAACATTTTGTCTCTGTATTTTAGACCCAGGACCTGGGTGGTAGTTGCAATGATGCTTGATCACGTACTGGATGTAGGGAAGGAAACACTCTCAATAACATGGCAATTTTGTCTGTAAGCAGCTCTGCATGTTACTGCTTTTTCCCAAACTCACAAATTTATGATCATTAGTAACTTTGTTTTGCAGTAAGCTTCACTTTAGTAGATCTTTAACTTTGTGTTTTTAAGGCTTTGTATTACAAAATTACAAAATCACACCACCTCTTTGTAATACTCCAGGGAGAAACCTCAATGATAATTAAAATGTTATACTATATAAATGCAATAGTGTTGTTTTTCCTCTTCCATTGAAAACAATACTTAGGGAATCCTTTAAAGAGCAGAGACTTGGATCAATTCTAGCTCAAAGGATGTTCTGTAAGTTGAAACTCAAACAATGCCAAGCTGGCTGTTGCACCGGAACCTGGCCTTCTATACCAGGCTAAGTTAGTTAAAGGATCTAGCACAACATTCAGGCCATCTCCGTCCAATTATTTCCTAAATACCATATTTTAAAACAAATTTTTCTTGTTCAGCTTTGACTTTTCCTATTAGTATATATCTGTACTGCCCTAATAATTAATTTCTGATTGAAGAGCTAGTATCTCAAGGACTCTAGGTTTATCGTGTGGTCTGTTCCTCACTTGTTAGCCAAACAGTCAGATAATTAACACAGTTAATCTTTGCTCCTATTCACTGTTGTTCTATGATCACCTTCCAATTTGTTCTACAATATTCAATTGTTGAACTGTGTGCAGCATTCCAGATGCATTGTTGAATTCCTAACTAGAAGATAAATGAGACAGTACTTTTCTCCTAAGGATTATGGTGTCCATATTTTCATTTAGTTGATTATCCTCTTTAGATGTTTTAACTTATTTTCTACTAATATCTAATCATTTGAGGTCCTTCTGAATTGGGATATTTACCGCGCATCTTCACTTATTGTAACTTTCACATTAGTTGTATGCCTCCCACTCACTGTCCTTTTCACTAGACTCTGGAAGTAGTTGCCACTGTAAATACCAGACTTAACACCAATTGCTATAGCACTACACTTACATCCACTCATTGAAGACTATTTCTGATGACTGTTTATTTCTGTCAGCCAGTTTTCAATCCATGTTTATTTTCACCAGTTAAATTTGAGGTAAACAAATACTTCATTAAATCAATAGTGCACATCCTACATTCTCTTCATCCTCAATTTTTTAATGATACCCATTGAGATTTTACTGAGTGAAAACATGTTATTTTAAAAGAGGAGATGAAAAATAGAATGGGAACAAAATTATAGGAAGTCTTGCAATTAAAAAAAATCAAGTAATTCAAATAAATTATTTCAGTTTAGAGTTGGTCAAGCTGTTATATCAGAACAATCTTGCTTTAAAATTTTAGAATTAACATTCTGGTACTCCAACATACTTGTTCTTATCATTGGGGGTTTGTCATCTTCTCCTACTTTATCTTTCAAGATGCACCAAACAAATAAAACATTTCTTTATGCTATTATCAAAGGTTTTGTAAAGGTCAAGGTTTTGTTTTTTAAAAGAACAATACCCAATAAGGAATTAGGAGCCTAATTTTAGGTAGTGTGAGAGGCTGGGTGTTAAAACCATGGTAAAGGGCAATGAAATAAGACCTTGATTTAGGACAGCACATAGTTAACTGTAAGCACGCACATACACATGTATTTTTCCTGAGAAGATATACTTTCCTGAATTAGAGTTGACATTTAGGTTCCCCCACTTGGACGTTTTGGCAATAATCTACAATTCTGTCAAAGCATTTAGTTATTTTATACATTTCTATGATTCTGGACAATGAAAATACTCACATTTCATGTCTGTACTCAGTTTTACATGCAGGTCCTCCTGCATTAGCCAAGTTATTACAGTACTTGCAAATTGAACACTGCAAGAAAATGTTTATTTAAAACAAGCATTTAATGGAAACAGTTCTAAAGTTTGTGTTACAAAAGCTAAGTTTTGGTCTAATTTTATCTGAATTAGTCCTTCAATATCACTGGGTCTTGGCAGTTAGTTCACCTAGGCCTCATTTTGGTCCTCTGCACAGAACAGTGTTTCACCATATGCAATCTATTTTGAGGTCTTCATGCATCTTCAGTTTCATCAGGTCAGATATGCAACAAAAGATAATTTATATTTAAGATAGGGGAGATAAAAGTTGAGCACTACACTAGCAAAAAAATATTTCAAATGGTATGGCATGTTCAGTGCACATAATTAGATTGCCTAGGATACTTTAAATCACCATCACATTTGAACTTCAAGTAATTTTTTCAATTAGTATTTGTCCCAGTATGCTCCCTTATAACTAGGATTGGCACTGTGGCTGTGAACCCCACTTTACTCTCCTCATCCCAGCCCAACTGGGACACCATAAACTCTCTAACAAGGGATCTGGGGTAGGAGGACCAAAAGAAAAAATAAGTATCTCATGGAAGGAAAAGAGTTCCAGAAACCCTTACCTTAGGACTCTTGCTGTATAAGCTCAGCTCAAGTCCTCAAGCAAAGTGTTTGATCTGAGCCTGCTCAGGATATTCTTCTGGGAGTCTAGGGCAAAGATCACTACCCATTTGCAAGCTGGATTGCTTCCCATCCCCTCCTCTTTTGCTCAACTTCCTGTTTAAATAGATCAGTCTTAGGGCAGAGCAGGAATCTTCCTTGATTATATCCAGGCTGTTCTGATGGTGAACTCATGGTTGACTCCTACCATGGTATTTCACTCCTGCCACTCCTACCTTAATTCTTCCTGTGATGCTGACTCAATGAACAATCCAGTTCCTCCACTGATTACAAGCGCTTGCTTGTTGTGGTATTTCGTCCCAGGTGATGCACACACAGTCAATATACTTTGTAACCATCTTCTACCAGTCTCTGGCCATCTGTGCTTTCTCTTTCTTCCCGCAAGTACTCAGTTCAATGCTTGCTTAGCAAGTCTCCCATCTTCCAGACTATATGTCACAACTATCTGTACTTTCTTTTTTTGAAGATATTTTCTAGCATATCCTGCTTTGTCAGCTCTTTTATGCTCCCATTTGTTTGTCTTTGCATGAAATGTGTAATATCTTCCTCAGCTGTCTATGAGAGGAGTCGCCAATGTTCATCAACACACATACTTTCTCACAACTTAAACATCTAATTATAATAGCAAACTATTATCCCATGTTGCTGATCCTGCTCTCAGGATCATACTGACTCAAATAAATCCTTAGCAGTACTTCCTATTTCCCCTACTGTTACTGAAAGCTCATGATGCTATATATTTCTGTTCGTCTCTAAGGTGCCACAGGACTAGTCATAGGAAAAGGTTTCAGCAAAAACATGTTCTAGTGGTACTTTAAAGCTTAAAATTTATTAGGGCATAATTTTTCAGTCGATACAATTCACTGAGGATTTATTATGCCCTACTAAATGTGTTAAGTCTTTAAAGTGACACTGGATTCAGTGTTATTTTTTGAAGGATAAGGTTGTTGTAAAACTATGCAAAAATTAGAAGAAACAGATTTTTTTAAAAATCATTTTAATATTCTTTGAAATATATGTATTGGTACAATTATATTCATAGGGATATACATAATTGGTGTCTGAAAACTATGGAAGTGTTTCTCAGATACTGTGATTTGTCCAAACTCTTATTAGCTGCTGATTTCCTTCTTATTGGATTAGGTCATAGCTTTATGCAAACTCATTCCTGTTGCTTAGTACATGACTGTTGCAACTTTTTGGAATATGCTTAAGAATGAATTTTGAAGCTAAATATATTCACATTTAGTGGGCCACAGACCAGTATTATATTTGGAAATAAAAACACATTTGTGTTTGTGAAGACTTTTTTATAATATACTTCATTTATATTAAAATGATTTTCCTGTAAATATAAAAATCTGAAAAGCAGTAGCTGTAATAAAAATTTCACTTTATAGCAGCAGTCATGTACAGGTAGGACGGAGCACTTTTTCACAACAAATCACAGCATTATAAATAACAAGAAAATGTTACAAACTGAATGCCATTTGAAGAAAGTAAAATAATTATGGCTTATCTGTTAATGCAGACTATAGAATATAAAACAAAATACTAGAGCATATATATAGCTTCTGTAACGAATAGGAACTAATTTCTGAAGTACATTGATTTTAAAGGTTACCACATTTGGCATTAACAAGTCCAGCAAAATCACTGTTTTGTATTCTTTTAAAAACCAACAGAACAGTTATATTTGTGAAAGGGATTATTTTTGTCTGAATCTTTTTTTTTTGTCCATAAGTTCTCAGTCTTGCAAGGTACTGCATAACTCCTGAAAGTGCTAAGCATTCTTAGCTCCTAATGATTTTACTGGGCTATGGGGATCAAGCCTTTAATATAGATAATTGTTACAATGGATTAAGTTATCCCTGTCCAACAGAACAAAAATTTGATGTAAATTTGTAGCGTCTCTCTACAAATTAAAATGAATATAAAAAATAAAAAACATGTTTTTAACAATGTTTTAATAAAATACAGAACTTCAAAAATTTTAAGTTCTAACACTACTTATGAAATCAAATAGAGTATGAAATCAGTCATACTGTACTAGAACAAGCAAAGGGCTTTTATTCATGTGAAAATAATAGCAGTATGGAAGATCTCTTCATTGCATTACACAAAATGTCCCTGAGATTTTTACATAAACAAGCTATATTCTGTGTCTCTTGAATATTGGAAACCTAGGGTGGGATCAATGAAGGGCCTTAAGTGTTGCAATACCGCATGTCACAGCTCAATTTTTAGTCACCTAGAAAATTACAGGAACACAGCGATCCACCAAACTGAGTTAGGTACCTCTACAATCATTGGGGAGAGAGAGTCACAAAAGCCAGCATGCTTGTTAGGCTAGCCAGTGAGAGATGCCAGTTAGAAATGTCTTTGCTAAGACCTGCCCCACCTTCTCTTGGAGAGATGCATCTAAATCCAGGTTACAGGGAGGAACCTATGTCTAAGTAACAATCTATTAACAGGAACCTGCTGCCTGGAGTTAGGTGTCTTAGGCACCTAAAGTGTTTCTTGAGGGAATCAGGCACCTACCTCACCCTACCAATAGTGGTGGTAGAGTAGCACCAACTGGATAACTCCTAGCCAGTGGTTAGTGTACTCATTTAGGATGTGGGAGACCCAGGTTCAATTCTCCACAACCCCCCCAGCTAGGGAGCATTTGAAGGGTGTATCCAAGGAGAATGGTCTAACCGCTTGGCTATGGGGCAGCCTGAAGTAAGGCTCCCTTTTCCCCATTGCACGGTTAATAAATAATGAAACAGTGCTTGGAAGGTTTGAAATCTAAGGTCAGGACTTCTTGACCCTGTGTCCAGTCCTTGGATTTCATGTGGTAAGGGGGCTCTGAGCCTGCCTACAGGATTGAGCCCTGCACACAAGTTATGTGTCTGAATGCCTGTTCTTCTCTAGCTAATGGGCTCAGACTGGAGACAGGCATCTGGTCAGCTAGATAGAAGATTAGGGTTGGAAGAGATCTCAGGAGGCCATCTAGTCCAACCCCTTGCTCAGAGCAGGATCTACCCCCAACTAAATCATTCCAGCCATGGCTTTGTCAAGCCAGGCCTTAAAAATCTCTAGGGATGGAGATTCCAGCACCTCCCTAGTAACCCATTCCAGTGCTTCATCACCCTCCTAGTGAAATAGGTTTATTTTTCTAATATCCAGTTGTGATCTTCCCCCATTGCAACTTGAGATCATTGCGCCTTCTATCATCTGCACTTCTGAGAACAGTCTCTCTCCAACCTCTTTGGCACCTCCCCCTCTACTATCAAAGCCCTCTTCACTTTTTTCTTCTGTAAACTAAAAAAGCTAGGGAGGTGAAAAGTTAACGAAGTAGCCAGCTTACCGGTAAATCACCCTTAATTGTTCTGGATAACTGTTAATTGGTGGGGGCTGGAGCAGCTCCTCACCAGCGGCAGGCAGGGAGCTGCTCCAGCCTCATGGGGTGTTAGGGAGGGGCCTGCTGGAGCAGCCCCTGCCCAACGCAGGCCCCAGCACCCTGCAGACAGGGGCTGCTCTGGATGACTGGAGTATCCCCTGCCTGCAATATGCCTGGGCCCACTGCAGAGAGGGTGAGGCTAAATCAGCTCCTGCCTAAAGCAGTGTGGAGGCTGCTCCAGTTCAGTGAGGCTTGAGCAACCCTCCTGCCTCTTAATCGGTTTACTGGTTAAAATAATGTTTAACCTGTTAACCGATTAAATGGGATTTTACATCCCTAAAAGCAGCCCAGTCCCCTTAGCCTCTCGTAAGTCATGTGCCCTAGTCCCCTAATAATTTTCATTACCCTCCAGTGGATACTCTTCAGTTTGTCCACATCCTTTGTGGAGTAGGGGGCCCAAAACTGGATTCCAGATTTGTCCTCAGATGGGATTAATCACTTCCCTCCATCTACTGGCAATGCTCCTACTAATGCAGCCCAATATGCCAAAAGAATGAGGCAGCACATACCCAGAGGAAGAAACAGAGGTACCTAGGGATCTTTTACTTCAAAACACTTTGGTGTTCAGTAAGTTTAGGTGCTTACAGGGTTTGGCAGGAGTTTTTCACATATCAGTGAAGCTAAAACTGGCACATAAGTGCCTAAACCAGGATGTAGGCTCCTAAATCTGGGGCTCAGGTGCATATGGACTTTCATGGATCCCACCTACTGAGTGTTATACACTGCCATTTTAGATTTCTGCATTTGTTATCCCAGCAATAATGCTGTTTAATGCTTATAAAGCTAGAATATTTTGTTTGGTTACAAAAACAAAACGAAACAAAATTCCTACAAAACTCATCATACAAAGTTAAGACTCTACAGACATCTTTTGCACAAATTTTAAAATCAAGTTCAAAACACTGTACAGAAATGCAATAACTGATTTGAAAAAAAAAGCATTTGACAAATATATGGTGAAGTTACTTTTTAAAAAAACGCTTAAAGTGTTTCAAATTTTGTGGCAACAGAAGCATAAATTATTGGTAAAATACAATTTTCAGAATAGAAGGCCTGAGCTTGCTCTTCTTGCCCTTGGCAAAGTCTTCCTGTTTTTGGTCAACATAAGACTGCCTAAGTAAGATCTGCAGGAGGGTGTCCCATAGAGGCACAAACCATTCTCATACTGGCACTGGGCTAAGCTGAACACTGGGTAAGCACTGTTAGAACTTAGGTACTTTTTAAAAGCAATTTTCTTCGATATCGTGACAGCACTACTGTGCCCCTCAATGTCTGTGATGATTTTCCTGTGTAATTAATCTGCTGTCAATTTATTTAAAAATGAATATTCCACTTGACTAAAAATCTGGATCTATGAACAAAGGTTCATAGAACAAAAGTGCCTCTAAAGAGAGCAGGCCCAATTGAGCCGGTGGGGGGAAGGGGGAAGCAGGGAGAAACAGAACAACTGGCCCGGGGCTTCCCGCCCCTGCCACAGTAGCAGCAGTGGTGGCTGGGAGCCCTGGGTCCTTTAAATCACCACTGGAGTGCTGTGCAATGTGCTCCAGGCAGCTGTAAGGTCTGGGGTCATGGAAGGGAACTCCTGGCAGCACTGAGGGCTGGCTGCTCCGCCCCTTCCAACAGAGATGCCCCTGACACTTTGCCTAGGTGCCAGGTGTGGTTGTCAGCTTCCCTGAAAATGAGATTTGCTCAACAAAAACAAAGGTGAACAACCACACTAACAAGGCAATTTAGAGTTAAATTTAGTTTATAAATTACCATATTTTAAGAGATCAAATAGGATCATATGGCTGGAATTAGAAAACACCAGTCATTGACTTACAGCTAGAGATAATGGAGATCGTGCCCCCAAGAAATATTCATGGAGGGGACACTCCACACACAGCTTCCTACCCTCATATCCCATCCACATAATACTCTGGGAGAGAATTTGGGTGGGGGAAGGGGTACAGGCTTTGGGAGGGAGTTTGGGTGCAGGCTCTGGGCTGAGGAAAGGGACTGAGGTGCAAGGGTGGACAGGCTCTGGGAGGGAGGTTGTGTGCAGGAGGGGTGAGGGGTTGGGCTCTGAGGGAATGTGGGTGTGGGAGTAGGTCTGTGGTGCAGGCTCTGGGCTGAGGCAGGGTGTAGGAGGAGGTGGGGGGTGCAAGGTCTAGGAGGGAATTTGGGGATAAAAAGGTGTGAGAAGGAGGGTGATGTGTGGGATGGAGCATGGGTGGAGGACGGGGTGAGGGTGCAGGTGCTGGGAAGAGGGGGTGTGGGTGCAGGAAGGGTTGAAGGAGAGGACAGTGCAACACTTCCTTGGGACACTCCCCTCTGTAACAGGGTAAGGGGCTTCCGTTAACCTCAACAGATTGTATACCTCTTATGTGGGTCTGCAATGGACCAGGGAAGAAGACCATGAGTCCCCTAGAAAGGGCTTTTGAGTCTGGAGCTGTATTTATCTTTTTTGTACAGCTCCTTGACTTATATTAAAAGGACTGAGGCCAGAACTGGAACCAGAGCCAAGATAAATATACAGGGAGTCTGTATGGGTATCTCTGGTTTCCGCAGATCCCACAGGGTTCCGAGAGTGGGGCCTGTTCCTGTTTGCAGGGTGGCAAATCCTGGTTCCTAAACCTCAGACTGATGTGAAGGAATTTCTGCCCATGAAATCTCACTGATATCACCTTCTCCCCAACCCCCCTGGTGTTTTATCAGAGGAAGGGAAATCTGAGATGGGATGGTACAACTCCATTAGCAAGCAGACCAGATCACATAGGTAGGAGTTTTGTTGTAAACTCCTTTTTGGGAGTGGGGGCACAAGGACACTGTTAATCATTCATAATACTGAATCGTGGATTTGGAGGTGTTCAGTCCCCAAGCAGAATCCTTAAAGTTAAATTCATCATCATATTAAGGTTACTAAGATAGACAAAATAACTGCATGTAATATGGTTAACAACATGTTTAGCATTCTTATTCTCATAAGTGGCCCACTGAAGTAATTGCTTTATCTGAAGCAGTTTTAATTCCACTTGCCATCTGTATTTTCATAAAATGTGGAGAGAACCCAGCACTTCTGCAGCAGATACATGGGGGAGAAGGGAGATAGGAAAATAGATTGTGCTGTTTCTATGCTTGTCCATTTCACAAGTTAAAATTTGGTGGGGACAGGATTTGCTATACAAATAAAACTAAAATTTGTTCCCTTTCCTTCAAAATATTTACAGTACATTACACAACAGCCTAATACATACCTTTGCATGTATTGCTGGCTAATAATGGACTCAAACAGGCACATTGAAAGTTGCTTAGTAAATTATCTAACCCTTCTTCAATTTGTCCTACAAAGAAGCCAATTCTGCGTTGACATTGAAAAATTATAAAACTATATTAATAAAGCACAAGCCCTTGTGCAGCACACTACACAGGATGCTAAGTTGCTATACATTCAGTGTGAAAACACTAAAAATATATTCTGTGCATCTCCACCTTGGCAAAGAAATACATCCAGTCTTTTCATCTTCCTAAAAACCCCACTAAAGTGGTAAGTCACTCTTTTTTGCATTGCCAAGTAAGGCAAATACTGGTGATGCAAATTGACCACATATTAGGGCACTGGTTAGAAAATTAACACCCTTTCTATTAAAGTATTTTGTTGTTGTGTCCTTATAGTAGCAAATGTATCCTGATGAAGAAAATGACCAGAATTCCTCACAGTTGCTGGTTCTGATAGAATATTTTCACATACATTTTGCCCATAGCAAAGATCATAGAATCAGAGGACCAGAAGGGATCTCGAGAGCTCATCTAGTCCAATCCCCTGCACTTATGTAGATAGATGCATGTATAATCCACAGCAACCCAAAGGACAGATTTTATTCTGTCTTCCACTACGTCCTCTGAATTATCTTCAGTTCTCTTATCCACCCATGTTGTCTCTTATACGGTCCACTCGCAGAGCAATCTCCCTAAAAGAGGGACGCTGATTTATGGTATTGTTCCAGCATTCTGTCATGATGGCATACATCTAAAAAAGACATCAGAAAAGAGATTACTCACACCAGGCATTAGGAGATCCCCAGACATCTTCCCTGACTCTCTGAGAGAGCAGGTTTGTATTTGGATACAAAGGAGAACCTGAACAGGTCATTGATGCTGAAGGGAGGTCTCCATCATCCTCTTCCTCTACGAGGGAGCTCTGACCAAAAAGGGAGGTGACAGTTCCCAGGACAAATAAGGGCTAGAAACCGAGAGGTTCTCAGTACTGCGAGATAGTAGTAGTACCTCCTAGCAATGAAGATTCCAGTTCAGTAGTCACTGATAAATCATTCAGACACTTAACATTTTGTGGCACCAAATGGAGCCGCAGCACTGCTGAATTGATATGTTTGTCTCTGCAGGACTGTACTACTGGTTTTGAGTACTTCACAGCTGACGCTGATGTAGATGGAGGCTTAATCTTGTATGGTACCAAAGAACTCAATAAGGATACCAAGAGAGGGGTTAAGTCTAACAGTACTGAGCTTCTGTGTTTGCTCTGACCACCTCCACTAGGCGTACTAGAACCTTCTTGGAGCCATGTTTACTCTTAGAACTGTAGGATTTTCCTGCCTTGCTGGAAGATCCCTTCACTATTCCTGCCTTGCTGGAAGATCCCTTCACTGAGCCTCAAGGACAGTATCTTTGAGACAGTTGACCAGGTCAGAAAGCGAGGTCTTTTTGATGTGGTTCGTTAAGAATGATTTAGAACTCCTCTTAAGATTGGTAGAGGAGGTCTCTGAGGCTTTCTTATTTCTAGGATAGTGCTACTTTGACATCAGAGGGCCATGAGCTATCCACGGGGAGTGATGTACAAATAAATTCTCTGACCTGGTTCTAAACAGGGTGAAAAAAGTGCTCCATTATTAAGATGGAGCTTGATTTCCCAGTTCTTCTGTGCCTTCGACTTGAGGGCTAAATAAAAGTGACGCTTCTGTGGGACAGGAGAGTCTCTCAGGCTGTGAATGTATGTAGTCAGGGCATCTGTTGTTGACTGGGATCACCTCTCTACATGTGAGGCACATTTAAGCCTCAGTAAACTGGGCATGCCCCTTACAGAGAAGATGTCCTCAGAGAAAATAAAACAATAATTCTATAAGCAGTAACTAACCACTACTAGTGACCTTTCCTCCAACTAATTAAAGTAAACTAAGTAGAATGAACCTAGCAACTAGCTGAGGCACTCACAATGCTAAGCTCCATCTTAGGCAGAGGTTTTTGAGAAGGAACTGAGGATGGTTTGCCTGTGCAGCCTTATATAGCTTTGGAGCAGGGTATAAGTATATCAGCAGTGCATGCATAAGTTGAATGGACATCGCTAATGAAAATCTCCAATCAAAGGTGCTTGGGATGAACATGCACCGGAAGTGGAGCACCCACAGGGACACTATTCAAAGAACAATTAGTATTACACACATAGAAACTTCAACTAGTTTCAAATACTTTGAGCTGGTCTGTCAGTATAGTAGCTGCCAGAAGGGCAGTGCTTTTTTTGTGATGGTACTTCCCAGGGTGCAGTACCGACACCTCCAGTCAGAGCTCAACAACTTTTCCCCTGGAGTACCGACACTTTTGTTTTTAAACTAACTAAGGATCTATGAATTAGTCTTTTGCTTCTGAGTGCTAGGGGGCCACAGTGCTGCAGAGACTGAATGCTCAGCTCCTAAGCTCATGTCTGTCTAACCACTTTATTTGGTGGACATAAGCAAAAGCAGTGAATGATGGCATCTAGCTTTGATCTACCAGAGGAATGTTTTAAGAGCATGGCTTTAAGTTTGAGGGAAAAGGCTGGGTAAATCCTTGAAGTAGTGAACCCATTTTCAAAAAGGAGGATTTGTTTTTTTTAAAGGAATGTTTCTAAAAATATGAAGAGGTGTCACATTTACTTTACAAGACAGACCAAAGACCAGTCTTACAAAGATAGCATTTCCAGATTATGTTCTGTCCCAGCCCTAAAAATGTTAACATTATATTTTGTTCGCAAAGTCCCACTGATATGTTTCAATACATCTCAATAACTGCTACTCCAGTTCTAATAAACCTCTACAAATAATAAATTTGTCCTATGAAAAAAAGATTAATTTACTCTAAGAAGTTTCCATTGTACTTATATCACTACCTCTACAGATTTGGTGGTTATGTCCTCAGGATAACTTGCAGAGCAGCTTTGACTTGCTCACCTGCACTCTGCCCATGAATCCAGTTTCATCCGAGTCATTCCTAGTATCCAAGCCAACTTTCAAATACAAACCAACCAAATACTACCTGCTTAAGAGGCAGTGTTTTGTTGACAAAACATGCCTCTGCAGACAAGGTCTCTCTCTCTCCAAAATAAGAAATTAACTCCAAAATAACTCATAAAATGAACTCTGAGCCAGTGAAAAATTAACAGCTTAATAGCTTGTGATCCATCAGTGCACCAGGGTGTAAAAAGTTGAGAGATTCACAGTTTTTTTTTTTTACCGTGAAAAAGCATTTGCACTAGGTTATGTAATATCTGCCCCTGAAAGGGTAGTACAGGTGGAACCTCCCAAAACCAGAATTCTCTAGTCCGGCAACATCCATGGTCTGGCAGGAGGGCAATCCAGAGGGACCAGGCTGAAGCAGTAGGACGGGGTAGGGGCTGACGCTGATGGCAGCTCCCTGGAGCAGCCCCGACAGCCTGTGGCACTGGGACCAGGTTGGGGCAGCTCCCAGCAGTGCAAGATGGGGCTGGAGACAGCCCATGGCAGAGTGGGCTGGGGTCAGAGCCTCGGGCAGCCCACAAAAAAAGCAGGGCCAGAATCTGTGGGCTGCCACGGGACAGGAGGCCCAGCCCATTGGAAGCATGGGACAGGAGCCCCGGACAGCCTGCGGAAGCGGGGCCAGAGCCCATGGGCTGCCACGGGACTGGGACTGGAGCCTGAGCCCTCGGCAACCCCTGACAGCCAGACCTGGGCCAGAGCCAGCCCCTAGCAGCACAGGGCCAGAGCTTGTGACAGCCCATGGCAGTGTAGGCTGCTGGAGCGGCAGGCAGTCTGGCTGGGTCAGCAACAGCAGGGCCAGCAATCCAGCAGGAGTTGGCAGAGTTGGTGGCTCGGGGCGGTGCCAGGGAACCTTCTCTAGTCCGGCAAATTCTTTGGTTCGGGACCAGTCACGTCCCAAGGGGTGCTGGATAAGGGATGTCCAACGTGTACTCATTATTGAGATAAGTTGTAGAATTTTTTTTAAATTTAATGAGTTTTTGTTATCTTCTTTCCTTGAGGCCTGAACAATCTGAGTTGTGAAAGCCTGGCTAAAGATGTGGAAGGTTACAAAAACTGAACCAGTTAAAATATATATAACACTAGAATATTTTGAAGACATTTGGCAGAATACGTGATCAGTCTGTGTTCTCAAATAAGGGGTTTTCATAAAAAAAACAACTACCAGTAGTTATATACACAAAATGCAAGCACAACTTCAGAAGCCACTTCTAAATATAGTGTTTGTATATAAATCCAACACAATTACAATACAAGTCTCAATCCTGCCGAGAATTATACACATTATTAAACTATGAATACAGTTCCACTAACTAAGTACATGAGTAGTCCCATAGGGGTGTAGAGTTAAGCAGATATGTAAATCTTTGCAGAATTAGGCCAGACTCCTCCCTAACAAATATGTGCATTTCAAAGTTTGGGAAGAAAAATAATCAAGTAAAACATCAGCTTTTTTTTTTTTTTTTTTTAAATCTGGAAATTAAATGCAAAAAACCTCCTGTTTAATAATAAGGTTGTATAGTTAAAATCACAAAAGACAGGAAATGCAAAGTTTATTTATATTAACGGAATCTTAACTAGGAACCTAGCAATATATAGTATTATCTATTCCTATTTTCAGATTAGGATAGGTAGCTTAAAGTTTCCATTTATGTTGTAAAACTTCTATTATTACACACAGTATGAAACATAGATAAGTTAATGTGACTGTGACCATTATAAAGTCTGTATTTTTTGACTTTATGCTTGTATTAATATTTTTCCTCTAATATTAAGGCAACCAGATACGTTAATACACTGAACTATCTATTTATCTCCCAAGGGCCTTAATAAATTTGCAATTCTGAATCCAAGTCTGCAATAGGTGACAGGTAATTTATCTAGAGATATTCAGCAACATTTTTACATTTAAGTTATTGACAGATTTCCAGACTAAGAAGCGGGAGCTGAATGTTTGATAATATCTTGCTATAAGACTATTATAAAACAGCAGCACAACGTTCCAGTGTACTTGACTATGCATTTTGTGTGATTGTGATGTAATATTCCATATGCTTTATGAAAATATACTTATGCTATAAATATAACATAACCAAGATGTATTTTATGCAAGACGCCTCATATAATGTACCATTGGAAAGGTTATGAATTACTGAATATGATTATCCCATTTCTATACATGCATCATTTTTGTACCTCTAGTTAGGAATATTGGCTGCACATTTATCATCAATGTGTTCATATTGGGAAAAGCCCAGCAGGTACAACAATGAGGAAGCCAAACACAGTGCTAATGGCTCATTAGCAAGAGACAGTGAACTTAGTTATTCTTTAAGCATTAGGAACAGCCTATAAGAAATGGCCTCTGGCTCTATAACGACCTGTGACCATGTCACTTGAGGCTGGAATCCATCTTGGATTCTGTATCTTTTCACAAGAAAGGGAAGAAGAGTTGGGTTTGGTAGACAGGGATTCCTGCCTTAGGCAAATCCTATTTAAGGGTGGGGAGAGAGGTAATCCTGGCTGTCAGTTCTCCCCTGGAATCCCACCCAATATGATTTCTTGAAAAAACTAAGACTGAACTGAAGGAAGGACCTGGACCCAGGTTGAAAGGATGTCTGGTCTGTGAAGATTATTAGAACAACTTTTAGGGTGAGCTGTTATCTGTAACTATTTTCTTTAATGTATTAAGCTTAGTTTGAATGTTCTGTTTTATTTTGTTTAGTAACCTACTTTGTTCTGCGTGCTACTTAAATCTTACACCTTTTATACTTAATAAAATCATTGTTGTTTATTAATAAACCCAGTGTAAATAATTATCTGGTAGGGGAAGGACAAGGAGTCTGCATATCTCTATTTACACTGAGAAAGAGGGAGAATTTCATGAGCTTATACTCTGTAGGTCTCCATGCATCATAAAACAGATTTATTTAGGGTTCAGCTCCCAGAAAGGCTATCTATGTACTAAGAATATGTCCTTCACACTATTGTCTGCTGTCTATTACAAGCAGAGGGGCATGGCCCTTCCCTGTGTCTGTGCTGGGACAGGCTGAGACCGTGCTCAGCAACACATGATTGCAGGGTACCCAGGCTATTATAGGGCAAACAGGCTCAGTGGTGTCACAGCACATCAAGTGACAGTCTCAAGGGGGTCCTGACCTGTCACAGTGATGTTGCTTCAATAACCCAAGTACCACAAAACACGGAACTCACTCTGGCTAATCCAACATTAAGACAAAAATATTAATTTGAATACCTCATCAGGACATCCATCTGGTCTTGGCAGCCGTCCATTGTTCTTCAAAAGCTCTATCAAATGGAATACAATCATCTGCCCTTGTTTATCATTACCAATCATGCGCATGAATTCCTGAAATACAAAGTCAAGTTTTATTAATCTAAAAGTTAATTATACTTTGTAATATTTTGGAGTATTGTTTATGGAGGAAGAGGGGGGAAAAAATCTATGACCAATGGCGTAAAAGGACACTAAGAAGGAAAATTTCAAATACATCAGGAACAAGTAAAATCATAACAATAGATTAAGTCAGAAACTAAATAAGGATAGTAATTATGATGCAGATAAGGCAGAAATATTAAATATATATTTCTGTTTGTATTCAGAAAGAACCAGGGCAATGCCTTCATATCTTAGAGTAGCAATGAAATAAATATTTCTTAGTCTACCAGTCACTAGGATATTAAATAGCAACTCTTTAAAGTTAAATATTTCAAAATTTAAAAATGTAAAGACAGTGTGTAACCAAGAGTATTAAAAGATTTGGCTCACGATCTCTCTGAAGCATTAATGTTGTTTTGTTTGGAAATGGTTGCAGACAGCATTAGGATATCATATCTGAGGCTTTAAGTATTCGGTAAGAGAGAAAGTCTGACATTTGAATATTTTAAAACGGTCTCATACAGTTATAAACACTAATATGGCTAAGGCCTTTACAGATGTTAGATAATTTTACACCTTCTAATTAATATTGTATGACTTGTTATAGGCGGAAATATACTGAAAAACATTAATAACTGCATGCTGCACTATGAAAATCCAATTAAGCACAAAAGGAACACTAAATAATTACAGATTTAGATCTATGCACAATCTAAAACTTTAGTTAAGCTCGAGAGAGAAGGAACACCAGAAACCTGTAACTATGCACTGACCACTGGAGGGCTTTTGCTCTTTTCAATATATGTGAAGAGTTCATATAAGACCACACCAAAACTCCACACATCAGAGGCCACAGAAAACTTGCTCTCTGTCAACGATTCTGGAGCATACCTGTATCAAAAAGTCATGGGAAACATCAGCAAAGTTAATATGGAAGGAAAAAGGAACATTATTCTGCACTTTTTTTTAGGACTCCAAACTATGTAAATCTACATGTAGGTAAGATTTTCTCATTACAAGTTTGCAGGCATTTATACCTCTGCATTTCATTACATTACTATCATTTGTATCTATGCTTTTTTTTTTTAACTTTAAAAAAAAAATTAAAATATTCCTGCTTTCTGTTTCTACAACATTGTATTTAGAACTGTTTATCGTAACGGCCTCACTTATGCAATATGATGAACATCACAAAAAATCCTCTCATGTGAAGAGCCTGACCCAACACCCATTCATGTCAATGACTCTTTCCATCAATGTCACTGATTTGGCTCATGCTAACTAACTATACTCTTATTTAAGTTCTTCAGTCCAGGTACTCAATAATCTAATATCTATGTATACTGAACACTATATTCTCAACTCTTTTCTTTAGAGTGTAACGCTTCTAAAGTACTTAGAGCTGACAAGTACTGCTCATACAACCAGCATGTACCCTGCTCAAGAGTACAAATAATTAAGCTCTTTCATTTAAACATGCAGCTACCTTAATATATCCTAGAGTTCTCATCTTCATAATTAGTACTGTAATGTTTCCCAAGCAAACTAAGGCCATGTTTCCACTTTTCCTGCTGGAGATCAATCTTCTGGCATTTGAATTAGTGGGTATAGTTAAGACATGCTAAACTGAATGCTGAGGGCAGCTCTGGTCGGTGCCGGTACTCCTCACAGTCAGATGGGAGTGTTTGCTCCTGTTAGCCTCCCTCTGTGCACATAGCTGGAGCTGCATACCTTAAGCCAACCTTCCAGGTTTATTGTAGACCCGGCCTAAAATACACATATTGAGGTCTCTAGGAGACTACAGAGTCTTCTGCACGTTTCCTTTTCCTAGCTGAAAGGAAACTGCTTCTAGATTATGCTTTTAAAAGCATCTATTACAGAAAAGTGTTACCAAAGAGGAGGGGTTTATAGTGTGTCCTGATGACTCGGACCTATTCTAGAAACTCATCCCTCACCTGAACATTACCTTCTACTCTCACAGTCCAGGAATAAACTTTGCTGGATGTGGTCAGAAGACACTGACCTTGGTATGGAAAAGGCTATTAGCAGGCAGATCATGTGAACAATCAACCCATAGATACCTCAAAGATACCTGAAAACTTTAAATACACAGTGAGAACTTCTATCTGGTTATCTGCAAGAAGTAAAAATGCAGAAGGGAGAGGGAGAGTCCACCAAAAAGGGTTTCTTTGGATAACATTTTTTACGTTTCTTTTAAACTTCTCAAACATTTAGCACCTTTGCTAAATAACAGTGGAGAATTCAAAACCCCAGCTAGAATACATAGACAATTATTAACTTCATGAGAGCGGCTTGAAAATATCCACATTTACAGTAACTAAAATCCTGCACTTGCCTTTTTATGTTGAGCCACAGCTATGGACTTAGGCTTTCAGGGACTCCAGAATAAGCACAAATATTAGCACCTTTCAGTGCAATACAATTCTTCTCTGTGTACTACAAACATCCGGCCTTGTTTCATTAAGCAAATGGAAACTCACCAAAATATAGGGCTTTCTCCAGGTTCTTTTACTTTGTAGTATTCTTTGTCTTGTGGCAGGACTTTTGTCAGACCAAAGTCTCCAATTTTAACTCTGTTCTCATTCTCCACTAAGATGTTTCTTGTTGCTAGATCCCGGTGAATATATCTTTTCGTGCCCAGATACTCCATGCCCTAAATGTAAAGATAATACAAAAATTAGATAATTGCTTTTAAAACTTAATAGAGATAAAAGGTCAAATTTAGCACTGGCATAAGTGGCTGTAATTTCATTAAATTAAATGCAGTCACATTTGTCTATGGCTGTGGTGAATTTGTTTCACAGAGTTTAATCCAAATACAGGAAGAACAGCAGACTTTTTTTTATCGGAAAGCCTATGTTTTGGAGAGAGCTTAATGCTTCCTCAATCCTCTTCTTAGCCCACCAGTGGCTATGTCTATACTGCAATGCTATTTGGGGATACTGAAGTATCCCCAAATAGCTATCCCGCGTCTTCACAGCAAGCCCGTTATTTCGGGCTCGCTATTCTGATGTCCCTGTAAACCTCATTCTACAAGGAGTAAGGCACGTTTTGGAATAGTGCTTTATTTCTAAATTTGGTGCTGCTGATGAAATAAGCTATTTTGAATTAGCATTGAAATAAGATACGTAATTTGCATAACTCAAATTGCATATCTTATTTCGAGTTACAGTGCAGTGTAGTCACACCCATCATTAATTCTAGCTTATTCAGAAGGGCAGTTCTTGCACCTCCTTCTCCATGGCCCAAAATGCTGTGTTGGCAGACCTCCATTCATTAGCCCAGGGAGAATGAAAGTCAAGCCAAATTTCTTGTACCATATAACAATGTGCCAACCAATAACCCAGCCTGTTTGACTTCCAGTGTTAATAGGCTCTGTTTCCCCTTCTCTCCTTGTTCTATCCAGCTCTATTTTATCATCCTCCTTGATCCCCATAACCAGTATGTTCTTCCTCCCATCCTCCCCTATCACAAACATTCACTCTCATTCTCTGAGTAGGGGAAATCTATGACCAACCCTGTCTTGAATAAGACGTTCTTCCTGCTCTGGCTGCTCCTCAGATGTCAAACATCTTATAGGAGCAAGCAGTTGGGCTATGGTGACTATTCCTTTGGTCACTGCTGAAATGTGAGAAGGGGGAACATGGGCATGTATGGAGTGAGGGTGGGTGGGCACTGCCTCCTCAAACTGCAAGCCTCAGACAGACACATGATTTGCCCCCTCCCACTCATGGCACCACTGGCCTGACTCGAGGTGTCACCCTAAAATATAGAAGTCAAACTATGCCTAGGGGGGATCCAACTTCAGATTTTATTATTACTAAGTTGAAAATCCTTAGTTTGGGCAGTTGTATGTGGTGGGGAGGAGTGGACAGAACACAGAGTGTTTGTAGAAGCTGACCAATTTTAAAGTATAACAGTGTGGAAACATTAAGCAAGCCATCTGTTCAATCACTCTAGACCAGCAATTCTCAAACTTCATTGCACCATAACCTAGGGATGTGAGTGACTAGTCAAGTCACTACTCACTTTCCCACCCCCCCTTGCTGCATCTGTCTTAGAGGCAGCAGGGGGGAAGAGCAAGAGCTGGTACTGGGGGGGAGCTGGCTTAAAAGCCAGTTTCCCCCAACACCATCTCCGCAGAGGAGGGCAGAGGAGACAGAAGCGCAGTGGTCTGAGTAGCTGGTCCTGGGCCTCTGTCTTTTAAACGTAAGAGCCGCCAGGTCCTGGACCTACCCCGCTGTGGCTCTGCCTTTTAAAGAGTTGAGCGGCTCTTACTACATTTAAAAGGCAGAGGCGCAGCGGTCCGAGTCTTGGCTCATGCTGGGTCCCGGACCTATCCCAGTTGAGGCTCTTCAGTTTAAATGTAGTAGGAGCCAGGCTGCCTGGGTACCCAGCTCCTACTACATATAAACTGCAGAGCCGCAGCAGGGGTAGCTCCTAGATCCCGCCTTCCCTTATCAACTGATCGTGTAGTCGATACAAATTGTATTGGCTATGTAAGTAGTCAATTACCCGCATCTTAACATCCTTTCTGTAACCCACTTCTCAACTAAAATTACTACACGACCCCAGGAGGAGGGACCAAAGACTGAGTCCACCCAACCCCCTCTTTGGGCCAGTGCTCCCTCTAACTTTCTCCAATTTTTCAAAATTTTGTTATGTGCACCAAGGCTTGTATGAATGTGCATTACTAGTAAAAACACATGCTGTGGGATGCAGCTAAGCAGCTGGGCAGTAACTGAATCTCTCCTGGGTGGCTGCCCAAGTGCAGAGCTTACAGGGAACATCGCTCTGGGTAGGGAAGCCGAAGCTGAAGCCCAAGGGCTTCTACCCTGGGTGGGGGCATATAACTTTAGCCTGTGTGGTAGGGTTTAGGCTTTGCTGGGTCCTAGGGCCAACATAAGCTTTGGCAACCCCATGAAAACAGGGTTGCAACCCACTGTTTGAGTACCCCTGCTTTTATAAGAATCCTTTCCTTTCCTTCCATGCATCTAAAATCCAGCAAGAATTGCTCATCGAAATTTTGGATGTTGACCAAACATTTTGGCATAAAAATTTTCCTTGACATTGCAGGGCCTTTCTGCATGTGGCACACATTCTGGGGGCTGTAATTCCTTGGTGTCTTTTTGGCTGTTGGGTGTAATATGCAGGTCATGAATGGTGCTGGAGGCATGTGAGATGCAGGAAGTCAGACCAGATGGTCTGGTGACTCCTCCTAGTCTTATGCTATATGACTCTAAACATTAAACCTATGGCGCTAGAGGAGGAGCACCTCACAGGCAGCAGGTCCAGAGCCGGATTTACACCTTATGCGCCTCAGTGACACTCCTGCCTCACCCCAATCTATGGCTGACCACTGTGTTGCACACAATTTTGAAGAGCTAACAAACCCCAGCACACTAGTGCCCCGAGCATATACCTAATGTGCCGAACTGGAAATCCAGCCCTGAGCAGGTCAGGTGTTTTCCCCCTCCACATAGTTTCCTGCCTGCCTCTGCCCCAGACTTGTGTCAATCTTTTTGAACAACGTTTCCTCATTTTCTTTATACCACTAGATGGCACCATTAGGCAACAGTACTTTATCAGCTGTAAGGAGAAAGGATGGCCCAATGCCCTCCAATGCAAGCTCTTGGTGCCTTTCTGTGAGTGGCACATTAACAATGTTATGGCTGGCACTTTCGCCTTAAAATCCATATATGCCCCTTCCATGACATGCCTAGTTTCCATCATAAAACCTGACCTCGCTCTCAAATCCAGGCTTCTCCCATGGCTGTCCTGATTCCTCAGTCAGGCCACTGGAGTGGGAAACTGGTAATGTTTCTGAATTAGGCATGTCAATGTGTAGATGACTACATGATTAACAGATAAGCCTGGGCTTATTGGTTAATCCTCTCGACTATGTGCATCCCCCACTGCACCTTACTGCTTCTGTATTAGAGGCAGCAAGGGAGGGGACGGGAGGAAGGGGAAGCCAGTGCCCGTGGGGCTATGAGAAATATGACATGTAGTTAACTCTGTCCTACGGGTTGGACCTCCCTGGTCTGGCACCCAGGATTTGCCCATCATTGACCTCCCAGCACCCCCCTCCACTTCTTCCTTATTGTCAGGTGCTTTTGGCCTATGCCTGACCCCAGGCTTGCGTTCTGGCCCTGGCACCAGCCCGGCTACTGCTAGCCCAGCTGTGGATTCCTGGAGCTGGAGTTCCCTGCAGCACCGTTGGACCTACAGCTCCCCAGCAGCCAGAGCTCCCCACTGTACCGCTAGCTGCCTCCGGGCCAGAGCTCCCCACTGGGCTCCTTATTGTCAGGTGCTTTTGGCCTATGCCTGACCCCAGGCTTGCGTTCTGGCCCTGGCACCAGCCCGGCTACTGCTAGCCCAGCTGTGGATTCCTGGAGCTGGAGTTCCCTGCAGCACCGTTGGACCTACAGCTCCCCAGCAGCCAGAGCTCCCCACTGTACCGCTAGCTGCCTCCGGGCCAGAGCTCCCCACTGGGCTCCCAGAACACCCCTTCCCCCCCCCCCCCACCGCCCCCCCCCACCCC